CCACCCCCTCCGCACCCCCTGTGGTGTCGAGAAAGTGCCACGCCTGCTAGGCTTTGCGCCAGTGTCGTGGATAGCGGCCGAGCTGAGAGACCACCCCCTGCCCACCCCCTGTGGTGTCGCGAAAGTGCCACGCCTGCTAGCCTTTGCGCCAGTGTCGTGGATAGCGGCCGAGCTGAGAGACCACCCCCTGCGCACCCCCTGTGGTGTCGATAAAGTGCCACGCCTGCTAGCCTTTGCGCCAGTGTCGTGGATAGCGGCCGAGCTGAGAGACCACCCCCTGCGCACCCCCTGTGGTGTCGAGAAAGTGCCACGCCTGCTAGCCTTTGCGCCAGTGTCGTGGATAGCGACCGAGCTGAGAGACAACCCCCTGCGCACCCCCTGTGGTGTCGAGAAAGTGCCACGCTTGCTAGGTTTGCGCCAGTGTCGTGGATAGCGGCCGAGCTGAGAGACCACCCCCTACGCACCCCGTGTGGTGTCGAGAAAGTGCCACGCCTGCTAGGCTTTGCGACAGTGTCGTGGATAGCGGCCGAGCTGAGAGACCACCCCCTGCGCACCCCCTTTGGTGTCGAGAAAGTGCCACGCCTGCTAGCCTTTGCGCCAGTGTCGTGGATAGCGGCCGAGCTGAGAGACCACCCCCTGCGCACCTCGTGTGGTTCCGAGAAAGTGCCACGCCTGCTAGGCTTTGCGCCAGTGTCGTGGATAGCGGACCGAGCTGAGAGACCACCCCCTGCCACCCCTTGGTGTCGAGAAAGTGCCACGCCTGCTAGGCTGTGCGCCAGTGTCGTGGATAGCGGCCGAGCTGAGAGACCACCCCCTGCGCACCCCCTGTGGTGTCGAGAAAGTGCCACGCCTGCTAGGCTTTGCGCCAGTGTCGTGGATAGCGGCCGAGCTGAGAGACCACCCCCTGCGCACCCCCTGTGGTGTCGAGAAAGTGCCACGCCTGCTAGGCTTTGCGCCAGTGTCGTGGATAGCGGCCGAGCTGAGAGACCACCCCCTGCCCACCCCCTTTGGTGTCGAGAGAGTGCCACGCCTGCTAGGCTTTGCGCCAGTGTCGTGGATAGCGGCCGAGCTGAGAGACCAACCCCTGCGCACCCCCTGTGGTGTCGAGAAAGTGCCACGAGCTGTGCTGTGCTGTGCTGAGCTGAGCCGTGCTGGGCTGTGCTGAACTGTGCTGAGCTGTGCTGTGTGCTGAGCTGAGCTGAGCTGTGTGCTGAGCTGAGCTGAGCTGTGCTGTACTGTGCTGTGCTGTGATGTGCTGTGCTGTGCTGAGCTGTGCTGTACGAAGAGTGAGGAATGTGTCGCGGGTGCGGCGCGGCAGGGAAGAAAACCAGAACCCCACGAAGCATGTGGGGAAAAATCGAGGCAGAGGTTTTTAATAAATGTTGGCCTCTCGGGGCCCTCGCCGGGCCTCGGGACCGTCAAAAAACGACTCGGGATGAAAAACCGGTCCCAGGGAAGTGGTCGGGAGAGGTCGGGAGCCCGCGTCTCGAAAAAATCGAGACGTCGGATGTCTGGGTACGGGTTCAATTCTGCGTTCTCTCAAAATGTGCCCCGAGCCCCCCCCCCCCACTGGGAATGGAGAGCAACTTGGGGCCCTCGGCTCGGCTTGGGGTGGCCCGGTGGGTGGCGAGGCGCCGCCGCGGGCGCGGCGGCCGCGGCCGCGCACCGCCGCCGCCTCGGCGCCCGCGGCCGCGCGCCGCGCCGCCGCCGGCGCGCGCTGCGCCGCGGCCCTCCGCCGCGGGCCGCGGCGCCCTCCCGCGGCGCGGCGCCCTGGCCGGCCGAGCTCGCGCCCCGGGCCTCCTCGGCGCCCTCGGCGTCCCTCGGCGGAGGCCGCCGGGATGGGCCCGCGGCCACCGCCGCGGGGTCGTGCTCTGGGGAAGTCGGGGAGCGGTGGGCGCCCCGCTCTCCGGCGAGGTGCTTCTGTGAATCCGGGCGCTCTTTCTCCCTGGGGCCCATCCTCGGGCCCCAGGGGCAGCAGCAATGGAGCCGGGGCGCAAATAGGGGAACAAAAAGTGGCATAAACGTAAAAACTCGGAGGTCCGCGCGGATTTCTCGGATCGGCGCTGGGGCGGCCTCCCGGCGGCGCCTCCGGCGCCGCCCCTGGCGCGCTCCGCGCGCCAGGGAGGGGGGTCCAGCGCCGATCCGAGAAATCCGCGCGGACCTCCGAGCTTTCATGTTTATGTCACTTTTTGTTCCCCTAGCAAAACCACCCCAGGGAGAGCCGTATGCGAGGATGTCTGGGCAGAGGTGTCTGCCCCACCCGCGCGGGCCCCCGACCTGCAAAGCCTCGAGAAGCTCCAGGCGAGCTTCGGTTCACGAAGCTCTGGGACCGCCCGAGAGCAACTCCCAAAGAAATACCTCTGGAGGCCCCGCGTTGAGAAACTTCGAGTAGGCGATCGACTACAGAATTCATTTGCCCCAGAATCGATCTTCACGTCGAACCTTCGGCACAAGCACGTAGAATGTTACAAATGTCCCGTGGATTCGACGTGGGGTACCCTACCCGATGATCCCAGGGCACGACTCCGCAGCGGTGCCTCTGCCCTCTCCTCCTCCGACGCTGCCATTGTTTCGCGACGTCGACCCCCAGAGATCTCGACCACTTCCCCAAGGCCAGCTCTACATCCTGGGTACTTTAGGGGGAAAACAAACCTACCTCGCTTTTGACCACCCTCGCTTCCAAGAGATGCCAAACGATGCCAAATTGCAGCCTGTACTGGTCAGGCCGCCTGACGAGGAGGCGCGTGGTATGGCTTGGTTTTGCCTGGAAGCGGCAAAGAGGGGGGTGTCCAAGAGGGGGGGGTGCAAATCATGACCAGCGGCATGTGCGCGGCCCAGCGGGGGGGCCAGGGACGTAACGAAACAAGAAGAGGCGCCATGAAATCTGGGGAAATATCATGGCCCCCGCCATGAGATCCACCCCCCCCTAGTCATCACCCCCCTCTTTTCCGCCCCCGATCCTGGGTACTTGTTTGGCAGCACCGGAAACTACGAAAACATGCTTGTTCAAGACGCTGGACTTCCGGGTACAGCAAATCCGTGTCGTGACGACCCAGGCGCTGGTTCCTGGTACCGCGTGGATCGTTCAGCCTTGAAGGCTTAGTGGCTTTCCCATCGCCAGGTCGTTCCACAGTGGCCGATTCTGGGCCACTGGATGCGTTCAACCTCGAACGCCCGCGCTGGCGTCGCCACCGTGCCGGCACGACACGCATCTACCGCAGATGGGGTCGGAGGATCGCGCCGCATCGGCGACGTATCGGCGACGCCGGCGAGGCATTGGCGACGTCGGGGTGGAGAAAATCGGGCTCCACGTCGCCGCATCGGCGATGCATCGGCGATGCGGTACGATCTTCCGACCTCATCTGCTCTGACCCCACCTTGAGGAAACCAAGAGATGCCAATACAGCTGATCCCTGGACCTTTCCCGGGAAGCGTTCTGATCAGAATTTCGCAGCGAATCCAACGGCGGCGACGAGGGCCTCCCAGGAGGCCCAAAAAGGAAAAACGAGGCAAGTGAAGCACCATCAGTACCTTCTCCTCTAACATCGGGGAGGCCTGGATTCTCTTTCCTAATCGGACCCAGTCTGGGAGGCCTGGACTCTTACGTGGGCGGCGCTCGGAGGAGGGGGAGGAGGAGGAGGAGGAGGAGGAGGAGGAGGAGGAGAAGGAGGAGGAGGAGGAGGAGGATGCGGAGGACGAGGAGGAGGAGGACGAGGACGAGGACGAGGACGAGGAGGACGCTGGCTCAACGCCAGAGCGTCGGGTCCAGATTTCTTTCAAAAGGTCGTGAGCGACGGAGCAGGAGGGGGAGGAGGATTGGGTCATGACAGGCCACATGGGAGGCCTGGGCCCCGACCGGGACACATCCTGGCAGCGCCCGGCTGTCGTCGTCGCCGTCGCCGTCGCCGTCGTCGTCGTCGTCGTCGTCGGCGGCGGCGTCGTTGTCGCCGTCGTCGCCGTCGTCGTCGTCGTCGTCGGCGTCGTCGTCGTCGGCGGCGTCGGCGTCGGCGTCGCCGTCGTCGTCGTCGTCGTCGTCGTCGTCGTCGTCGGCGGCGGCGTCGGCGTCGTCGTCGTCGTCGTCGTCGTCGTCGTCGGCGGCGTCGTCGTCGTCGGCGGCGTCGGCGTCGGCGTCGCCGTCGTCGTCGTCGCCGTCGTCGTCGGCGTCGCCGTCGTCGTCGTCGTCGTCGTCGTCGTCGCCGTCGCCGTCGTCGGCGGCGTCGTCGGCGTCGCCGTCGTCGCCGTCGTCGTCGTCGCCGTCGGCGTCGTCGGCGTCGTCGGCGTCGTCGTCTGGCAGCGGACCTCTGCAGCTCGTCCATCCGCCGCAGCGCCAACGAGAGGCGGGCCTCCGCGCGGCTGGGGAGGCCGAGGTCCTCGGCCTCAAGGCGCCACAGGCCGCCCTCCTGCGCCGGGGCAGGGAACGGGCCCTCCTCTGCATCCTCCTCCTGCTCCTCCTGCAGCCCCTGCTCCTGCTCATCCTGCGTTCTCCTCCTCCACCTATTCCTCCTCCTCCTCCTCCTCCTCCTCCTCCTCCTCCTCCTCCTCCTGCTCCGCCTGTTCCTCCTGCTCCTCCTCCTCCTCCTCCTCCTCCTCCTCCTCCACCTCCTCCTGCTCCTCCTGCTCCTCCTGATCCTCCTGATCCTGCTTTTCCTCCTCCTCATGCTCTTTCTCCTCCTCCTCCTCCTCATCCTCCTCCTCCTCCTGCTCCTCCTGCTCCTCTTCCTGTTGCTGCTGCTCCTCCTCCTCCTCCTTTTCCTCATCCTCCTCCTCATATGATTATCAATACTCTTCACATTACTCCTCTGTGTAATCATTTTTCGCATGACTATTACTATTCGTAATATCACCATTCCTCTCATTCGTATTCGCATTACTATTCGTATGCTTCAAAATAACAATTGTCGCGTTAGTCTCCTTAGTTCCCCCCCCTCCGACAGCCCCCCCCGAAAAAAAGACCCCCCCCTTCCGACATGTCCCTTTCCGATCTTCCGCTTTCTCTCCTACAGACCCCCCCCCCTCCAGGACAGACTCCCCCCCTTTTCCGACATATCCCTTTCCGCTCTTCCGCTTTCTCTCCTGCAGACCCCCCCCCGCTCTCACAGACACCCCCCCACACACTCCGACAGACCCCCCCACCTCCAGGACAGACCTCACCTCTCCGAGAAATCTCCTTCCTTGTTTCCAAACCCTCCTTGTGTTGGGTACTCGTTTTGAATAGAGCACTGTGGTATCCACCTCCCGCCCTCTCCTCCTTTTTCTCTCCTGTGTTCGCGGTGCCCTGCGGGGCTGCGATCTGCGCAACTGTCGCCACTTTCGTGGGTTCCTGGGAGGCCCGGCGGAGGTACGTCCTACGCAGACCACTGTGAGGCCTCCCTGTCCCCTGCGGGGCTGCGATCTGCGCAACTGTCGCCACTTTCGTGGGTTCCTGGGAGGCCCAGCGGAGGTACGTCCTGAGCAAACCACTTTGAGGCCTCCCTGTCCCCTGCGGGGCTGCGATCTGCGCAACTGTCGCCACTTTCGTGGGTTCCTGGGAGGCCCTGCGGAGGTACGTCCTACGCAAACCACTTTGAGGCCTCCCTGTTCCCTGCGGGGCTGCGATCTGCGCAATTGTCGCCACGTTCGTGGTTTCGTGGGAGGCCCAACGGAGGTACGCCCTACGCAAACCACTTTGAAGCCTCCCTGTCCCCTGCGGGGCTGCGATCTGCGCAACTGTCGCCACGTTCGTGGGTTCCTGGGAGGCCCAGCGGAGGTACGTCCTACGCAGACCACTTTGACGCCTCCATGCCCCCAGCGGGGCTGTGATCTGCGCAACTGTCGCCACTTTCGTGGGTTCCTGGGAGGCCCAGCGGAGGTGCGTCCTACGCAAACCACTTTGAAGCCTCCCTGTCCCCTGCGGGGCTGCGATCTGCGCAGCTGTCGCCACTTTCGTGGGTTCCTGGGAGGCCACGCGGAGGTACGTCCTACGCAAACCAATGTGAGGCCTCCCTGTCCCCTGCGGGGCTGCGATCTGCGCAACTGTCGCCACTTTCGTGGGTTCCTGGGAGGCCCAGCGGAGGTACGTCCTACGCAGACCACGTTGAAGCCTCCCTGTCCCCTTGGCGCACTTAGCGCGCACCTGGCGCACCTGGCGCGCACCTGGCGCGCCGGGCGCACCTGACGCACCTGACGCGCTGGGCGCACCTGGCGCACCTGACGCACCTGGCGCACCTGTCGCACCTGTCGCCACCTGGCGCACCTGGCGCACCTGGCGCGCACCTGGCGCGCACCTGGCGCGCACCTGGCGCGCACCTGGCGCGCACCTGGCGCGCACCTGGCGCGCTGGGCGCACCCGACACGCTGGGCGCACCTGGCGCGCACTTGGCGCACCTGGCGCGCTGGGCGCACCTGACGCACCTGCCGCACCTGGCGCACCTGGCGAACCTGGCGCGCCTGGCGCGCCTGGTGCAACTGGCGCACCTGGCGCACCTGGTGCGCACCTGGCGCACATCTGGCGCACACCTGGCACACCTGGTGCATCTGGCGCACCTGGCGCACCTGGCGCGCTGGGCGCACCTGGCGCACCTACCACACCTAGCGCAGACCTGGCGCACCTGGCGCGCCTGTCGCACCTGGCGCACATGGCGCCCTGGCGCACCTGTCGCACCTGGCGCACATGGCGCACCTGGCTCACTTGGCGCGCCTGGCGCAACTGGCGCACCCGGCACACCTGGCGCAACTGGCGCACCTGGCGAACCTGGCGCGCACCTGGCGCACACGTGGCGCACACCTGGCGCAACTAGCACACCTGGCGCGCGCCTGGCGCGCACCTGGCGCGCACCTGGCGCGCACCTGACGCGCTGGGCGCACCTGGCGCACCTGGCGCGGTGGGAGCACCTGGCGCGCACATGGTGCACCTGGCGCGCTGGGCGTACCTGACGCACCTGGCACAGCTCACCTGGCGCACCTGGCGCGCCTGGCGCAACTGGCGCACCTGGCGCGCCTGGCGCGCGCCTGGCGCGCACCTGGCGCACACCTGGCGCACCTGGCGCGCCTGGCGCACCTGGCGCACGTGGCGCACCTGGCACACCTGGCGCACCTGGCGCACCTCGCGCACCTGGCGCGCCAGGCGCACCTGGCGCACACCCGGCGCACACCTGGCGCACCGGGCTCACTTGGCGCGCCTGGCGCACCTGGCGCAACTGGCGCGCCTGGCGCGCCTGGCGCGCCTGACGCACCTGGCGTACCTGGCGCAGCTGGCGCACCTGGCGCGCCTGGCGCACCTGGCGCACCTGGCGCACCTGGCGCACCTGGGGCACCTGGCGCACCTGGCGCACCTGGAGCACCTGGCGCGCCTGGCGCGCCTGGCGCGCTTGGCTCACCTGGCGCGCACCTGGCACACCTGGCACACCTGGCGCACACCTGGCGCACACCTGGCGCACACCTGGCGCACCTGGCGCGCCTGGCGCATCTCGCGCACCTGGCGCGCCTGGCGCGCCTGGCGCACCTGGCGCACGTGGCGCACCTGGCGCACCTGGCGCACCTGGCGCACCTGGCGCACCTGGAGCACCTGGCGCACCTGGCGCGCCTGGCGCGCTTGGCTCACCTGGCGCGCATGGGCTTCTGGGAGGCTCAGCGGAGGCACGTCCTACGCAGATCACCACTATACCATGGCGCCGAAATGTCCTTCGGTATTGAATGGTCCTGAATGCAATTGCCACTTGTGTAGACAGGGTTAGGTACGTCGCAAGATAATTTTCCAACAGAGCCTCTCCTCGCCATTCGGGCCCAGGAGGGAGGACGGGGGAGGGGGTTGACGCCATTTAGGCCCGGGAAGGAGGAGAGGGGGGGGGGGGGGACGCCATTCAGGCCCGGGAGGCCCTGGGGGGCTGCGATCTGCGAAACTGTCGCCACTTTCGAAGACTGCTGGTGGGTCCTGCGGAGTGAACTTTCGAGGGATGCCTGAGCGAGACCTCGCCGTCCCTGGGGGGCTGCGATCTGCGAAACTGTCGCCATTTTCGAGGGCTGCTGCTGTGTCCTGCGGACTGAGACACCGCGCAGATCTGAGCGAGACCTCGCTGTCCCTGGGGGGTTGTCTGCGAAACTGTCGCCACTGTCGAAGGCTGCTGGTGGGTCCTGCGGAAAGAAGCACCGCGCAGATCTGAGCGGGACATCGCCGTCCCTGGGGGGCTGCGATCTGCGAAACGGTCGCCAAGTTCGAGGGCTGCTGATGGGTCCTGCGGAGTGAGGCACCGCGCAAATCTGAGCGAGACCTCGCCGTGCCTGGGGGGCTGCGATCTGCGACGCTGCCGCCACTTTCGAGGGCTGCTGGTGGGTCCTGCGGAGTGAAGCACCGCGCAGATCTTAGCGAGACCTCGCCGTCCCTGGGGGGCTGCGATCTGCGAGACCGTCGCAACTTTCGAGGGGTGCTTGGGGTGCCAGCATAGCCATCTGCGGAATTGTCGCCACTTTCGAAGACTGCTGGCGGGTCCAGCGGAGTGAGGCACTGCGCAGATCTGAGCGGGACCTCGCCGTCCCGGGGGCTGCGATGTGCGAAACTGTCGCCGCTTTCGAAGGCTGCTGGTGGGTCCAGCGGAGTGAGGCACCGCGCAGATCTTAGCGACACCTCGCCGTCCCTGGGGTGCTGCGATCTGCGACGCTGTCGCCACTTTCGAGGGCTGCTGGTGGGTCCTGCGGACTGAGGCACCGCGGGGACCTGAGCGAGACCTCGCCGTCTCTGGGGGGCTGTGATCTGCGAAACGGTCGCCGCTCTCGAAAGCTGCTGGTGGCTCCTGCGGAGTGAGGCACCGCGCAGATCTGAACGGGGCCTCGCCGTCCTTGGGGGGCTGCGATCTGCGAAACCGTCGCAACTTTCGAAAGCTGGCGGCGGGTTCAGCGGAGCAAGGCACCAGGCAGATCTGAGCGAGACATCGCAATCCTTGGGGGGCTGCGAGCCTCACGAATGCCGCTCGCAGAAGTATATGCGCCCATGTCACGTCATCACCTCCGTATAACGTCTCCCAAGCTACTCATGTCCAGCATTGCGCAGGGGTCGCAGGGGTTGGGTACGTCGCCAGGGTAAGTTCCCAACACTCATTGGTTGGGTATTCGTTTTGAATAGAGCACTGTGGTCGCGTCCCTCCTCTTCTCCCGCCTCCCGCCTCCCTCTTGTCTCCTCTCGCCTTGTGAGTGCCACGTGTGTGAGCGTGTGCATACTGCATGCAGTATCTCTTATGTGCATATTGCATGGGGTGCTGCGATCTGCGACACTGTCGTCACTTTCGAGGGCTGCTGGCGGGTCCTGCGAACTGAAGCACCGCGCGGACCTGAGCGAGACCTCGCCGTCCCTGGGGGGCTGCGATCTGCGACACTGTCGCCGCTTTCGAGGGCTGCTGGGGGGTCCTGCGGACTGAGGCACCGCGGGGAC